GCAGACCATATCGAGCAGATTTAAAATTAAATTCAGCGTTAAACGCTATGCTTACTGCCTCCTCAAAAGTCGAAGGCTGGACACGGAAAACTTCCGTCCTGGCGACCCCAGTGCGAAGTCCTTCCATAAAAATGGTTACTCGGACTTCCTCTGCCAGTGGGTCCTGCTGCATAGCAGCAATGAGAGTTCTCAACTCTTGGACATAGTCCGACAATTCTTTCTTACCCTGTCGGGTAGCTAGGAAGCGTGAGCGCACACGATAAGCCTGTTAAGGCGGTGCAAACACGCAAGTTAATTGCTTTTTAAGCATTTCCCATGTGGGAAATGCAGCATTTACAGAGACATTGCTTGTTAGAGCCCACTCTCTAGCTCTTCCACCGAGCTTCGAAATGGCCAAGCCAACTCGTTGCTTATCGGATACAAGCATGGCGGCATCCATTGCCATTTCAACTTCTCGGATCCAGAGGAGAAGATTTTCTCCCTCCTTCCCCTCGAAGTTCTTTACGTTAAAACAAGTGGGCGAGCCTTTGGCTCTGCATCGGGCACAGGTACCGGAATGTACTGTGTAGGCGCAGCTGACGCTGCCTGGTCATGGACCTGCCCGAGGAGCGTTGCCTCATAACGCATAAAGGCCTCAAGACGAGCATTTAGAACCTCGGGGCCTTGGGCCAAAAGGGCCTCGATTTGATCGGGCCCGACGAACGCAGATAGTTTATCTAAGGCGAGTCGTTGTGCCTCAGAGAGGTGATTTTGATTCTCCATCCTCACAGAGGGTCAGTCTTTAAAGACTCAGGTGTAGGATTGACAACAAGTGCTACCAAGTGTAGCGGAGCTGCACAGCTCTTTAGCCAGAGGAAGACTTTCGGCTGGAAGCCTCTTAGTTCTAGAGAACTAAATAGAGTTAAGGCTAAAAGCCACTTAGTTCTAAGGAACTAATTATACGACGTTAAAGTCACCCTCTTCTAAGGAAGTAGGAGAGACTTTTAGTCAGCAAGCAATAAGCTTAAGGTTCAGAGAACCAACGCACAGAGTGCAAGACGAATCTAGAAGCTTAGGGGTTCAGAGAACCAACGCACGAAGTGCACAAGAGAGCAAGTCAGAACGACTTGCGATCTTAAACTCAAAAGGAGAACTGATTTTATTTATGCTTTAAGATTTTATGAATAGTCCTACTCTAAGTACACTACACTAGATTAATTACTATAATAGTAATTATTATATGCAGACTTTGCTATTGGACGACGTATCGTCTAAACATCTGTGTATGATGTACTTAATACAGCGTTAGTGATTTATCGAATCTCAATCGATAAGATACGGTATTACCGAATACCGTATTATAACGCTCATACTTAATACCTCTCTAAAGAGAAGTATAATAATGCATTATATGCAATACAAAGGAGAGTTTAACCGTAAACTCTCGGAAAGACGCTACAACCGTCGTGTAACCCCGTTACACAACCGGATATTCCACATGACGGAACGACGGGTTTACATTCACCTTTATACCGATAAATTTACCTTATTGAACCAGATATATAGAAGTAAAGAGATGGGTACGAATATCAAACGACAGACTTCGCTTACTGTGTCCGTCAGAACGAAGGGTACACATAGACCTGCGAAACGACGGGTATACATTGACTGCGAAATGGCAGGTATACTGACACGCCATTGACTGGCAGAGGAACAATCTGTTATATGTCAATACATTGACCGACGTTGTCAGGTACATACTGACTTTTATACCCATTGACATCATAGTCACAATGACTTGACCCAACCAGATATTTGAAATTACAATAATGGATCTATATACCGACCTTCACTACCTTTCATACTTATCAACTTACGTAAAGCAACCTGATATTATAAGGAAAGTGATAAAAATAAACACTGTTAGCGTAGAATTTGTGCACTTTTCCGTCGTAACGACGGGTGAACACCCTTACTAATCGCTGCATTTAGGATGTCTATATATACTACTGTGCACCATCGGAACGATGGGTGAACACCCTAGCACAGTGCTGTGTTTAAATTGCCTATATATATTACTTCGCACCTTCAAAATGACGGGTCAACACATACGTATAGCAATTTTTTATAATGAAAGGACCGTGATAAATTTATATACTGTCAGCATATAATTTGTGCATTTTTCCGTCGAAACGACGGGTCAACACCATTACTTAGGTGCATTAACGTAAGCACATTTCCATCTTTACAAGTTTAATTAGGAATTTTCTAGAGTATAGCAATAAATTTCGTTGGACATTCATCTATAGAAATGGGTATCATGACTAAAATTTGTATAGTATAATCTATATAATAACTCCGTCCATAATGCTATATAATTAAATGGAAAATGCACGAAACGACGGGTACACATTGAATCTTTTATCCATCACTTTACAGAGTCAACCGGATATTCTAATGTAAAAAGACAAGAGAACAAGTTACAAGGCAAACTTTGCTCACCATGTCCGTCGGAACCATGGGCACACATTAAAATTCATAACATAATTAGACTTTTGTCACCCAAATAAAACGACAATATGAAGTCAATATACTACCGGCGTATACTCGCGCATTGTGTCCGTCGGAATGGCGGGTGAACACTCTAGCAAATAGCTGCGCTTTACATGCCAATATATTCTACTTTGCACCATCAGAACGACGGGTGAACACCATAAAAGAGGTGGGTCGATAAAACATGATGCAATCATCCATCTATTCATCAGAATTTAGGCATTAATCTACAATAAATGACTGTATATTATAGCGTTACAAAAAATTGCTCATGTGTATTCGGCGGAACGACGGGTTTACATTGGCCTGATTGCACATTGACTTTCATATCAAATGAAAAATTGACGAATAGACGAGTACACATTGCCTTTATATCCATCTTTACCCTGAGTCAATCGAATTATTAAACGTTAAATGATGGGTTTACAGGTCAAAAGGCAGACCATGTCCGTCGAAACGACAGGTGAACACCCTAACTTTCGAAACGACAGGTATACATTGACCTTCATACACAATATTTCTAATATTAATTAATTACCTAAGTCAATATACGATCTGCGTCAAATATGTGCACCTATCGGTCGACACGACGAGAACACCCCTATATATGTATTTATAGCATAAAACCATGTCCGTCGGAACGACGGGTACACACCCTAGTCTATATAATACTGTCCGCCCGTCCGTCCGTTTGATCCTTTTCCGGCATTCGGATTGGCTACTTTTGCATTATTCGCTAATTTTGGATTGGCTGATTTTGCATATTAATGCGAGCAGGTCAGTTGTGCACGGGCTCAAGTTGCATCAAAAATATGTTTGACACACCGAAAGAAGACCAACAGATACGGATCGACGTATGATGTCATGCTATAAATCTGTCGGACATCTATATCTAAAAATGGATAGCATGACTAAAATCTATATCGTAAGATCATAACAATAAAATTCCGTTTGTCGTGTTATATAATGAAATGAAAATTTACGGAACGACGGGTACACGTCCACCTTCACACCCATAGTTTAATTTATATGACTGATTATACGAAATTTAAAGGCATGCTTCGCTTACTGTGTTCGTAGGAACGACGGGTACATATTAACCTTCGAAACGACAGGTACACATTGACCAGCGTCGGCAGGTAGACCTTGCCTTTCATACTTATTGACTTCATATGTAGCAATTACCTGACTCAACCAGAATAACTAGTGGGTACGAAGATTATTTTTTTTAGCAGATGTTTGCTCACCATGTCCGTCGGAACGACGAGTGACCATCCCTATTTTAAGATATATGGTGGGCCAGGGTACTATCAGCGTAGAATCGCGCCCCTACCGACGGAACAATGGGAACTACCAAAAGCTGCACACAGGCATAAAGTTGTATTAAAAATTGATTGACACACATAGAAAAAAATTACATACGGTCCTATATACACAATTAAATTTATAGATTCGATCCGCACGCTACTATCCGTCGGAACGACGAGTACACATTAATTCTCATACCCATCACTTTACCTTAATAGTGTAAGGTAAAATGTTGGATTCGAAGGTCAAAAGGCAAACTTTAATCACCATGTCCGTTGGAACGACGAGTACACGGTGACCTTAATATTACCATTTTAATGTAGTCAACCAAATTGGTAAAACGATGATGTAAAGGTCAATATATTACAGGCGTCGACTTGCGCACCATATCCGTCGGAATGACGGGTATACATCCGAGCAAATTGGGGCGTTTAACACGCCAATATTTTTTACTTTGCACCATCAGAACGAAGGGTGGACACCATAAAAGAGGTGGGTTGATGAAATATGGTGCAATCGTCTATCGATTCACTAGGGTGCAGGTATCATCTAAAAATAAATGACTGTATATCAAAACGTTCTAAAAATTTGCTAATGTGTACCCGGTGGAACGACGGGTTTACATTGGGCTGGATGCACATTGACTTCAATACCTATTCATTAACCTAATTCAAACGGTTATTCTCAGCAGAGTGATTGACCAGTATACTGTAGGAATATCCGTCGGAACGACGGGTAAATACTCTCGTCATTACATAATTCTAGATATAAATATCAAGCCATCGTGTAACCCCGTTACAAATTTGGTCCTCTCGGGCAAATCGCTCCCATTCGTGAAAAAAACCAAATCACTAAAATTATGGGATCAGAGCATAATCCTGGCGTTACAATTGCGCTTTTTGGTTGTCAGAATAGAGTGTCGTATTCGAAGTTGCCAATGAGACGATAAGTACAATTTAGCGCAGCGGATCAAACGTGCGTCAGATGCGAGCACGCGGTAGTACCGACGAACCTCCGACTTCTGAGCCATGCCAGCGAGGTATAACTATTTTAGAGTTGGGGTCGTAGTGCTTAAGCAAACGAAAACTAACAGCTTGAGAACAATTTGTTTTGTTATTTGTAAGAGATGCAACTAGACACTTTTGTACTTAAGAGGCATTCTACAAATAATCCTTGTTGACAAACGTTTGAAAGTCCTCACCAAGAATATCTCTAATAGCGATAGGACCGTCCAACTGTCCACTATAGGACACCCGACCATCGATGGTTGTATTAGCATCTTTGTATTCTTTTAAAAATACGTTGGACGTGGCCATGCCCTTGCTCATTAAGGTCCAGCCGGCCGCGTTGATGTTTCCGCCAAGATCGCACTGTTGGAACACCACGCGTGCGAACGCTCTCCAAGGGCGACCGAGGTAGACCTTTCCGGGTGATAAGCTAGACACACGCGCCTTGTTCAATACAAAGAAAGACTCGTCGTCTTTGGAGCCTCGGCCGTTGGCAGTGATATATCCGGGACCGACAGACTCAATGTCGCACGATTCAAACCAAGCTCGAGCATTGCCAAAGATGAAGTCGACCGTACCCACCACGTGCGACCGACTATAGAATTGATAACCCCTGTTGGCGAACAAGGTATCCTGATGTCCAGTGATGCTGCAAGCGTAGAAAGCGCATTGCTTACATGCGACGCTCAGGGCCGGAGCCTGGCCTTTTTGAGGAGTTGGATCGGCCGTGTTGGCGAGATTGAGGTTGTACACCTGCACGTTGTCGGTGCCGATTCTGAGCGTACTGACAAGATCGTTTGAATCCACACCCGGGTGAGGAGTAATGTCCTGCTGCGACATTTTGTGGGTGATCGTGACTTCATTCTTATCGTACGACATCTTATCGCATGTGTATCCTTGCAGCACTAGTGTGCTCTTCAACTTCGAGATGACGACTTGTTCTTGGTACGTGCCCTTGTAGATGAAGATAGTTTGCTGCACTGTCGTGTCAACATTCAGTTTGCCTACGGCGTCCTTAATGGTACGGTAACCGCTATGGGCGCCGGATTGATCCACAATGATTGCTCCGGCTGGAGGCTTGGTGCATGCAGCATCGGCGCCCACTACGAGACTGGCAAGAAGTATGACTGGAAGAGCGAAGATGCGCATTGTTTGGTGTGTGCGCGTGGAAGTGACTTGATTGACGCGAAGTAAAACACAAAGTGAGCTGCTATCGAGCTTAGATCATTCCTGCACATGGTTCCTCCACATAAAAGGTAAGAGTTTTGCTTATTTGAGTACAAACTGGATGTATTCATCACCAGATGAGAGTTGTCAGAAAGGCTGCTCCGAGTCAAAAATTGAAGCAACAACAATACTAGTCCGCATGAATTTCGTGCTCCTATTGGTAGAAAACAACATTCTCTTAGTATTCAAAAATATAGTGTTCCTGCCAATCATCTTGGTTGTATGGCTTACGGATCTTATTTCTCACTGTATGCCGGACGTATGTTTGCTCAATGTGCGATGATTCGTGCGAGCTACAAGCTTCCTTCAACACAAAACCAGCTGATCTCGAGGTGTTTAGAATTTCAAGTACCCGAAGCGTCGATTATTGATGAATTACCACCACTATCCGAAATTTGTCATCCGAGACACGCTTATATACGACGCTACGCGGCTGATGTCGCAGAGGTTGTCGTAGAGGTTGTCGCATAGGATGTCGCAGAGAGCGTCGCAGAGGATGTCGCAGAGGATGTCGCAGAGAGCGTCGCAGAGGATGTCGCAGAGAGCGTCGCAGAGGATGTCGCTAAGGATTTTGCTTTGGCAATTTCCAGCATGAAGCAGATCAATAAGTGGGTTGCTTATAGCTAATTTTATTGAAGTTTGGGACGAGATATGATGTAACCGCTTGGATCATCAATCACTTTGACAGATGTGCCCGAAACTGATCAACAGGAGCTGATGAATATACAACAGCGAACACGGAACACGGCGCTTGTATTCACGGCGCATCCGCAGCTACATGGGTTCCTTAAAGCCTCCCACCCTCCATCAACAACATTCATGCTTTCGAGGTGCTACAACGCCAACCGTTTCATCGCACCAAACAAAAGTTACATCCTGTGCTTACGGCGGTAATCACCAGGCTACAACGTCGAGACGGCTCACAGGACGGCAACCACTCTCGATGTCGCAGTCACCGGCACATCTCTGGGAACACGGATACAATATCACGAAATAATAAGGTCTGGGTTTGCTACAGAGTAGCTTCCCAGCAGTTGAATCTGTACTTCTCGGGACGCAAGATAGACTCGTCATGCAAGAGATCTGGCCTGCGCCGGGCAACACGGAGGACTTCTACATATCTTTGAGGACTACGACGGTGCATCTAGGTCTTGGGCATACATCATCACGCAGTGGACACGATCGGAGGTAACATCCACTTAAATATTTTTGTACAAACAAGCAGCATTATCGCGTTCGGCAACGGAGCCTCCGTTGCAGCATCGAGCTGGCGGACTACGCAGGAGTCGACGGCAACGCATCAGGTTTTCAAAAATCCATGACTTCGTGTCAAGATACTTTAGAAGACCCTGAAGCTCGCATGGTGGACGTGAACGACCGAGGAAGAGCAATCTCGCCGATCAGATGACCTGAGCACTAGAATCTCGACACGACCCGTACTGACGCCTCGAACTCATGCAAGCTTAGAATCAAGTATATCGGCCCATACTTAGTAGTGCGAAACAAGGATGGTGCACTCCACGTTCTGCTTCAAGGTGAGGTGTTGACACAGGTACAATTAAGCCTCTAGAGGGACTTATCTGTGGAATCTACACGTGGTGAGGATTTGAAAAAAATTGCTCTGTTTTGACTTAGCTCTACATGTTTCGAAACATTGTAGCTATCTTTTGTTTTTATACGTTTACTAAATGAAACGGACGGTCGATTTTCTGCCTGCGTTTGCTACTGTAGGTTGGCCGGCGCAATTTGCGTTTGTGATCAACGCGATCAGGATCACTCCGCCTGCGCAAGATTGAAATGTAAGGAGTTGACGGAAGCCTACACAGCAAGGGGAAAATCGTCGAAGGCTAGTCGCTTGAAAATATTGAGCACTTGACCCCTGCTGACTCTACACGTGGTGAAAGCTGTGAACAAAACGACGCAACTTTTCCTTACGTCATAGTCAATTCGTCATGTTTTGAATCCAATTAAAAATCTCGAGCATAAACCATTCCTTCCTCGCGCTTGAAGTCGTGATGACGTGCATTAGGTATGAGTTGCTAAGGTCAAGAAATGCGCTGCTGCGCCTTGGTGTACGAGACTTGTGCTTCACTGGTAATCGCTTTACATCCATTAAAAAATCAGGTACATCTTCATCTTGTAGCTCCATAGCGCATAGTAGTCGCCGTCGATAGGCTCCACCTTGATTCCTGAGTCGTGAGGCTAGGCTCATAACCTCTTCGTTTTGTAGTCAGGAATGCTTAAAACATAGATGAAGATAGCTTTAAATCAGAGTTGCAAAGGTCTTGTATCATCTTAATGACCGACAACAAGATTGACTGCTAGTGGGCATGCCATCGCTTGCACGGCTACAAACAGTGATGAGCTAGAAGAAGCGTACACCAGTACGTTTTGAATGTGACAGTGCGCCAGTAAGCGATAGCCATGCTAGTACATCATTTCGTCCTTTTGATACGACAGCGACTGATGCCGCTGACCCATCGCAGAGAAGTTAATGAATTTCAATGTGATTGACTTTGTTTTTTGGACCGACACTGTCAGGCCGCAAGGTACGTGCGGTGCGACAGAGCGTGTGTTAGGTTTGCACATAGTGGATAGGCCATGACGCCACAGTCTGGCGTCATTAGATGACGTCACAGTCTCGCGTCATTAAATGACGTCACTACGAAGCTTCAAGAAGGAATTAGATGAGTAGGCTTAGAGGTAGCACAGGGTAGCGAACTAAGGACCTACGTAAATTTTCAGTTTCAAATATACCGAGTAAAACCATAAGTCCTTACATCTGGTAGCACTTGTTGGCCCTCGTCCCCGCCGTGCTTGTCGTGCTCGCCGTCCCTGCAGCACCGCCGTCCCTTCAGCACCGCCGTCCCTGCCGTGCTCGCCGTCCCTTCAGCACCGCCGTTCCCGACGTTCCCGCCGTTCCCGCCGTGCTCGCCATCCTTTGAGCTACGCCGTCGCCGCTCAAAAGCAGTGATTAGGAGAGCCCATTCGTAAGTCCCAATCTTTTTGAGGGCAGGAACTCCTTTTCATTGGGTGTAAATCCGACTGGGCCATTACTACTGCCATCGTTATCGAGATCGAAGTCTTTATTGGCTGTAAATCGTCTCGTTCCGGTAATAAGTCAGTTTGGTTAACAGGAGGTCAGTACTTCGGTTCATGACCCGTCACCCGCGCAAGCAACCCACGAAACTCGACATCAACGACTCGCTGGCCCAGCTGTCCGTGAAGAACCCAGACGCAGCTGACAAGTGCCGTGAGGATCTGCTGGAATCGATCCGCCGCACCAGCCGCATTCTTTGCCGCTTCGAGAAACACTTGGACACGGTTCAACGCGCCGACTCGCGCAAACACATAAAGGCTCGCCTACTCGGGCACGCCAGTGACTTGCTCGGCTTCGAGAGCACTGTAAGCCTGCGCATCTCACGCGAGATCGCTAAGCACAAAAGCACCGTCCGTGTTTCTTATTCTGGGCCGCCGGGGTACAAAATCGTAATCGCCCGCCAGCAACCGACCGCCAAGTCAACAAAGTCTTCGAAACCCGGACCGAAGGTTGTCAAGAGAAGCACCCAAGAGCCTAAAATGACCCACAATTAACCACTTACAGATACTAATCGTTAATATCAGTTAGTTACTGCATTAGTTCCATAATGTCCACCCCAATGACCTCCGATCAGCATGCACAGTTGTTGCACATTATGGTTCCGACTATGAAAAAAACAAGCGCTGTTACTCGAGCAATTCCAAAGGTCGACACAGCTATCGAGAATCAAGTTAGAGGGTGTGAAGCTTCCAACGTATGGAGGTAGATTGGATGAATCATTCCAACTCCACAAGGAGCAAGTGGAGCAGTACTTCTTTGCAAGAAGAGTGAACTAGAAGAGTCAGGAAATTTCTCAAGGAATACTCGCCGTCGTAGGTGGGACACTAAAGCAAGGAGCCGCTCAGTGGTATATGATGCAAAAACAGTATGTCAAAATCGTGGACGACTTCCTTAGCAAAGTCGAAAGAGAATTCATTCCTGCTAATTTGCAAGAACGTCTGCGCGAAGATATGAACAATATGAAAGAGCGCGATTGCGAAGATCTCCCGGATTATTTGTGCAAATTTCGCCACGTAGCCACTCAAGTCCGAGAAATGAGCGAGTTGGACCAAATCATGTACTTCCTACGTGGACTTACAGGTCGTACGCGGGAGGAGGTTCAGTACCGTCGCTGTACAACACTTTTCGAAGCTATTACTGTGGCATTGGACTTTGATCGCTCTCATCCTCAGCGACATTCCCGAGGAATATCGCACGATAAAACAAGGTACAGGTCGTACGAAAACAGTTGTCGATATCGATCGAGCAATGGTCCTGAGCCAATGGACATTTGCAACGTGCAGATCCCGTCTAGGGACGAATGTCGCCGCCAAAATTTGTGCTTTAAGTGCGGTAGTCCGAATCACCGATCCGCACAGTGTGATCATCGCCAACCACGAAATGATAGAGGAAACAATCGTTCAGTTCGAAGCTATCGGCAGCATGTAGATCGTCAGCATGTCAATAATGTGGACAGCCGTGAGGACGAAGAGGACAACCAAGAATTCAGTGTTTACGATCGTGTCACGATCAATGCCGTGGAGGTCAGACGGAAGTCTGAGGCAGAACCTATTTACATCGTATCAAGCAGCGTTCAATCGGATATGCCAGCGCAGAGTCGACTTCTAGTGCGTGATGGTGTCATTGGAGGCAACTCCGTCAAGATTTTGATCGACTCTGGTGCATCAACAAATCTAATCAGACCCGGTCTGGCATCGAAAGTTTTAAGCGAATAAAAGGTACAAGCGCGTCGTTTTGATGGAACATGGACATCGATTCATCCCACGAAGAGAGTGGAAGACACCATTTATATAGAAGGTATGGAGTTTCCACGGATGCAGTTCACGGAATGGGACCTACCGGACACGCACGACTTAATATTTGGTCAACCATGGTTCACCAAGTACAACCCCCAAATCGATTGGCGTACGCAACAGATCCAAGTAGAAACCCACACGACGTTCGAAGACGTGGATGGTCCTACCTTTCAAGAGAAATTAAAATGTGGAGCTTATGATAAGATATACCACTTGAAGGTAACCAACGTCGACCAAGCAGAAATACCGCAGGAGTTAATCCCACTTTTGGACGAGTATAACGACGTCTTTCCAGAGCAACTCCCGAACGAGATGCCTCCAACGCGATCAGTTAACTTCGAGTTGCAAATGAAGCCTGATGCGATTCCGAGCTCCCGTGCTCCCTTCCGTCTTTCGAAGGTTGAGCAGGACGTACTGCAACAATTCGTTGAAGAGAATATACGAAAAGGATGGATAGAAGTATCAAACTCTTCATGGGTCTCAAATATCTTTGGGATTCCAAAGAAAGATCCTGCAACCGGAAAGTTTTCTAAACGCGCCGAATGGCTCCGAAGCGGCAATTCGAAGATCCCCATTCGATGGGTAATTGACTACCGCTATGTTAATAGCATGTCCGTCGTGGCAAAAATTCCTCTGCCATTGATCGAAGAACTATTTGACCGCATGGTTGAATGCACGTATTTTACGCTTCTCGATCTCGCACAAGGGTACCATCAAATGGTAGTGTTACCATCGAGTCGGCCCTACACGGCTTTTCGGACCCACAAATAAACTTATTAATGGTGTGTCGCACCGATGGGTTTATCAGGTATGCCGGGAGTCTGGTCACGTCTTATGCGAACTTTGTTCGATAAGCTAGGACAATTTGTTGTCGTGTATCTCGACGACATCTGTATCTTTTCCCGTACAATGGAGGCTCATCTCATTCACGTTCGCGCAGTATGCGACGTGTTGCGCAAGGAAAAGCTGTACGCTCTTCTCTCCAAATGCGCTTTTGGTCGTCAAGAGATCGCATTTTAGGGCATATGGTTTCCAAAGATGGTCTGCGCGTCGACCCAAGGAAAACCAATACAATCGCGACATTCCGAGCGCCGACATGTCGCAAGGAATTGCTGAGTTTTTTTGGTCTAGCGGGATATTACCGGCGATTTATCTGCAATTTTGCACGGATATCGCGTCCTCTTCGCGATTTAACCAAGAAGGATGCGCAATGGACTTGGGGGGAGAATCAACAAAAAGCTCTTAACGCTTTGAAACTAGCACTTCAGCAATCTCCGACGCTGAAGTTGCCGGACTTTTCTCACCCTTTCATCGAAACAACGGATGCTTCTGGTTTCTGCGTGGTGGTGTTCTTTCGCAACGTATCAACGACAATGACCACGCCATTGCGTTTTATTCGAAACATCTGGTGACCACACGAATTGAAATGGCCAGCCCACGAGAAAGAGCTGCTGGCCATCAAGACTGCTCTAGAAAAATGGCGTCCGTATCTCCATAGAAGACACTTTTCAGTCTACACCGACAATTCAGCGTGCAAGTGGATGCTCCACCATCCCAAGTGTCTCCCAAGATGGCTCGAATGTTGACGTTCTTTTCCCAGTTTGACTTTGTCTTACATCATGTGAAAGGACAATCAAATGTCGTGGCCGACGCTTTATCTCGTCCTCCTGTGACTGGCGAGCATTCCAACGAGCCCACGGTGCCTACGTCCCATGTTCCAGATCTGTCGCACGTTGTACATGAGTGTACAGAGGAGTGTAATCTTCCCTTTACTCTTTTGGACAAGCACATGGTGCACTCTGTCCTCCTTCAGTACATTCCGCTGGATGTATCCCAACTCTTACTTGACGATGTGGAGTTGAGGAAGGAGAGTCGTCCGATAGGAGTCGCTCAGGAGCAAATCCATAACGCCGAGTTTCACGTTGTGCGCGCACATATCAGCAAAAAAGTGCGGAAAGCGATTCAGCAAGGATATCGCAAGGACAACTTCTTCAAGAATATCTGGGAAACCGAGCAGCCAAATGACAAGTTCATAATTGACAAAGGACTCTTATGTCTAAAGCAAGATGATGCAATGCAGCAAATATGCATTCCAGACATGCCGGAATTAAAGATGAAGATTTTATATGAGTTTCACGACGCAGCCACCGCAGCACATCCAGGAGTTCGCAGAACTTACCTGAAGTTGAAGCAATGGTACTACTGGCCGCATATGCTTGAGACGGTGCAGAAGTACGTCGAGACATGTAAAACATGCGCTCGATGGAAGTCAAACAGCCAGCGAAAGAAAGGATTAATTATTACTATCCCCATTCCGGAGGAACGCTGGGAAGTAGTGTCAATAATCTTCATTACTGGACTACCCGTGTCGGAAGGGTATGATGCTATTTTCGTCGTCGTAGACAAGTTGTCAAAGAGACCGATTTATGCACCAACGTATACGACTGCCGATTCGAAAGACACCGCAAAGTTGTTTTTCGACGCCGTAGTTCGACATCATGGACTGCCAAAGGTAATAATCAGCGATCGGGATCCTAAGTTCACAGCAAACTTCTGGAAATCTTTAATGAACATAATGGGTGTTAAACTAAGCATGACGACCGCTCATAGGGCGCAAGCAGATGGACAAACAGAACGCCAAAACCTGGTGTTAAAGGACGCTTTACGCTGCTTGGTAGCCTACAGTGGAGAAAAATGGGTCAAGCTACTTGGTACTGTAGAGTACGCGCACGCCACCTCGGTGAATCCGTCCACTAAGCTCACCCCATTTGAGATCGATACCGGAAGAAAGGTTTCAAATTCGATTTCTCACGAATACAAAGAGTACGATGGTCTGGGCCCACAACCAATCTCAGAGCTTGCTTCAAAGTTCGCCAAAGATCGTCAAGACGTAGTGCGTAAGGCACGAAAAAACCTAGAGCAAGCCCAAGAAAGACAGAAAAAGTACTACGACTCTAAAAGAACAAACCTCACCTTTAATGTCGGTGACTTAGTTCTACTGGATACCAAAAATTTACCGTTAAGGACAGTCAACGCTCACATTGGGTTAAAGAAAGCAAAGCTCGCGGCCAAAAAAGTTGGACCGTTTGAGATAATCAAGATGATCAACCCGAATGTAGCGAAGTTGAAGCTACCACGAAATTTGAAGAAACTGCACTCATCGTTTAACGTCGACCTACTCTTTACATACAAGCCGAATGCCTCTGAGTTCGCTGGACGACCGATTCCAAAAACATCACCGGTTATCCTAGAGGCAGATACCGGTAAAGAACTTCACATTGTGGAAAGGTTGCTTAGTCGTCGTCAGCGCAGCCGTCAAATAGAATGGCTAGTAAAATGGCACGGCCTGCCGGAGTGTGATAGTACTTGGGAACGCGAGAAAGCTATCCGCCACGTTTCGCATTGGCAGCGACTAGTATAGGACTTTCGAGACCGCCAACGCGAAGTCAAGTCCGGGGAGATGTCAGGTCGCAAGGTACGTGCGGTGCGACAGAGCTTGTGTTAGGTTTGCACATAGTGGATAGGCCATGACGCCACAGTCTGGCGTCATTAGATGACGTCACAGTCTCGCGTCATTATATGACGTCACTACGAAGCTTCAAGAAGGAATTAGATGAGTAGGCTTAGAGGTAGCACAGGGTAGCGAACTAAGGACCTACGTAAATTTTCAGTTTCAAATATACCGAGTAAACCATAAGTCCTTACAGACACAGACAGAGCAACACGAAACTAGAAGAATCCGTCGAGTTGACTCGAAAGTAAATACGATTAAAATTGGATTGGATTTATAAAAGAGGTGAGTCGACACCGGCAATCATACTAACAGAGAGAACCTATTGTTCTATTTACTGGTTAGTGCAAGATCTCTTATAGGTAGTTAACCACTTTAGCAACGCTGGAGGGTCCAGGCATTGCCTACGGCTGCCAGCACGTCTATGAACGTCGGAATGCCCTTTCGGTTCTGATATAAATATGTCGTAACATGCAGATAGTTGGGCTCCACGAACGGTTGTGTCCGCCCTGCAATGGAGACATTTGATGAGCGCCCTTATTGGAGCTAATACCTTCCCCAGATCAAAGCTTTTTCATTGTTTTACTGTTTGCATCGGGATAGTCGCATTGTAAAAAAAACGCTCCAAGCGAAGTTGCCAGAGCATTGTAATGATTATGGTCACTGCAACCTCCCAAATCGTCCTCCAGACTGTGGTGAATTGATTTATGTCTTCCGGGTATCGGGCTAACAGCTCTGCTGTGACTTGCGGCGAGATGCGTGGTACGCTACAGTTTGCGCAGTGCTCGAGCCAATCTAGTAGGTGGGTAGGATGTTGAGGTGTACTCTCCCAATAACTGATAAGCCGGGCCCAGATTGCTTGAGCACGGAGACACCCCCAAAAGAGGTGCTCCTGGGTCTCGTTTTGGCCTACATTCCAAATATGTGCATGATCTGTCCGGGGGTTCGGTTTTGGTACCAAAAGTTTGCTGTCCGGTGGCGTGTCGATATCGTGTGTCCATAGCTGGGTTTCCGTTACGCATGACCATGATTCCATAGCTGAGCCGGCGTGACATCTGAAGCTGTGCGTTGCCATTGCGTAGTCTGGCTCTTGGTGGCTAGCCGATCGATGACCTACTTCAGCGGTACTGCGAGACAGCGCTTTGTCGCCTGAAAAGCTTGCTTTTTCAGGAAAGTGAATAGTCGATGATTGGGAACCGTAGGCGGTGCGGACCACGGATAATGGTGGTTTTGTAGGTTGAAAAAAGACGACTCCATGTCGGCTGAGCTTGCACTCCGCAAGTTGGGTGAGTTCCTGCGATTTCCCTTTTACTAGTGGCGGATCGCCTCCGTAACCCAAATTATGCCATTGTGGCATTGAGTAAGCTCCCAACCCTGATGGTGAGTAGATTCAACTTAGAGAGAGAAACCCCGAACCTTGCCTGGTCCGACCAGCTCCCACGAGATGGCTTGTGTGTATGGTGGCTGTTGTCTTAGCCGCAATGAGATTGGGCACTCTACCGGATTTCCCACGTCTAGTGGCGGCGACAAAAGTAAGACTATGTTTGCCCATTCTCGAAGTTTCGCATGTGAATGGTGGGGGGATGCGTGGACGTCCGTGCCAATGCCACTGAAGACGTATTCTTGAAGGCCAGTCCGTTTGATATGGAGTTGTTTGAGGGAGACATCTCGAAATGTGTTATACTTGGATCGGGACAGCTCTAGCGCCTGCGGCGAGAGAATCCAAGAATTTTTACTCCACTGAAACTTCTGCCAAAAATCTTTAATCTCCTGGGGCCAAATCTCATCCCTCTGAGGCCGCCAGGGAAGGGCTAGGAGAGGTGCAGTATCCAGTCATTTTCTTCTTACTAACTGGTCAATGATGTCCGAAGGTTTGTTAGATGTTCCGGTACTCGTGCTAGGATTACCTCCGTTTGCGCGATATCTGGCCTTAATGTGCAGCCGAGTTTATGGATCAAATCCGGATAACGCCCGAAAGACGGTGATACGATGTGTTTTACGCTCGGTCGATGCGGGCTGATGCTCGTGTTACGTGCACCATGCGTATTCCAGGACACTCACGCTGTGAGAAATACATCCTCTGGCCAAGTAAGTGCCAGAAGCGCGTGTTTCACTCACTGTTTATTAACGGCGACGGGGACGGAAACTAGCCAATTCCTCCTGCCTTCCGGAAAGTGTAAAGTAGGCTTGGAGCGATGTTGTGTCTTCCAGGTTTGATATTGCTGGACAATTGTCAGAGAAATTGTTTGTAGAGGTGGTCCAGTTGTGTTAGCGCCCAGCCGGGGGCCCGAAGACCGCTGCTGTGGACAAAATACTGGGGGGAACAATCGCGTTGAGCATAAGGACACGGTGCTCGAGAGTCGTTGATACTCGCGTTGCAGTGAGGAAGCGGCGCAGTGCATTTTTGATGTGGAATGCCCAATTAATAAATATTACGCTACTTTTCTGTCCCCACTTGATATCCATGATACCTCGTAGTTGTTGACGGAGCAACCTCTGCAATTCCTTGGTACGTGAATTGATGGATAGCCGTATTTAAAAAGATGATTTGGCTTTTAGTTGGTTGCACTTGCAACCCCGATAGCCGTCCAAACTCAAAAAATACTTTCCATACCGGATGTAGTAAATTTGTTTTTTGGATAAATAATGTGGAGTCGTCGGCAAACCCAGAAAAAGATATGATTCTGTGTGTGGGCTCCCTGAAGTGTGAGCCCCTGAAGTTGGTGCGACGTTTGTATAGCAACTGCCAATACCTCTACTACCACAAAAAAAGAAGGGGAGCAAGAGGACAGCACTGCCGAATACCCGAACTAACTCCCCAAATTGATGAAAGCTCGCCGTTGACTGTATACCGTGCTGTCGTGTTGGTATGAAACCTTTGAATTGCGCAAGAAATTTATCGCCAAATCCAAAGAGTCGAAGCGCTTCCACCATAAAGTCTCGGTCGACTGTATCGTAGGCCTCCCGAAAATCCAATAAGACAATGGCGCGGCTGGCGCCTGGCGTGTCAATAGTGGGATTCGTGCTCGCCGTCTGAGCTTATGGATGTACCGTGATCGTCGTTGCTTGAGCCTGCGAGCAATAGTTGTGATTCCCGCCGGACGCGACGGACCCCGTGATCCCAGTCAGGACCGTGGTGAACTCATTATGCCACTATCTGTGAGGTGATTGATGAGTTCTGCGACGGTGCCATCCTGGTTCGCACAACGTATGGGGTACGCGACTTTGCTTGGATGGTGGTGCCGACTACGATTTCCAGAAGATACATGAAAGGTGAACTTGCTGATGATCAGATGTCGATGGTGGAAGAATGGATTCCAACCATTGCACTCGGTCTCCACATGTGTGGGATACGTAGCTTTTTCAGTCAAGATCCAAGTCTTCCGCTTCCTTCTGAGTGGTGACGTGTGTTTCTTAAAAATAACCATGTATTCGGTCGATTTTCTCGTGGCGCATTACGCCATGCTGCCATCCATACGGGTCGAGATTTGCAAGAATAACCGCGTACATTCTGCGTAATTATTTTTGAGACATAGTTGTAGAAGACGCCCGCTGGAAACGCGCTTGTTATAAAATTAGTCTATCGTGCATATATTGATCGTACACATCAGCTGTATCCCCGCTCAAAGTAGGAAGCCGTGACCGAGTCGTCTTGTGTGGTTGCTTTTAATGGTCAGTGGCTTCAATGTTCATTGGCTTCGCGAAAGCTTGTTCAAAATACTGCGCAATACTGGCCGAATTGGCCTATTTCCCATCCCCGTTGTGGCGAAGTTTATAGTTCGCATTTTTTAAGAGCTGAACGTGAGCCTCCATCACCGTCCGGGGGTAGCTTCCATATCGGTCACCGATAAAAGCTCTGCAGTTTCAAGTTGATACAGATGTGCGCATAAGGTTTGGTGGCTAAACTTTATCCACTGAACTGGATCAAAAAGCCGGAGAAGATCGTCGCTCCCATATTTATTGAAACGGAGTCGTTTCCAATGATCCGCATCATCACCGATATTACCGGCGGCCTTTCGCTCCTGCAGCATCATGATCTGTTGCACCCACTAATTCAACGATGCCTTCGTCGCTTGTGACGGGAATTTAGTCCAGTCCTGCGCTAGACAGTGCTGGAGACATTCCCGTCGCCAGTGCTCTGTCCACTGAGCGATGACTGAGTCAACAAGAAAGTTGATGAGTTCTCCAAAGAACCTAAAAGATTGGACTTGATGTGGTAATTACTGCGGTTCTGCCGCCGCCACCCAGATAGCTGTTTCGTTTTTCACCAAACCCCGAATTAAGATATTAAAACAAGCACGTAATCTACCGGCTTTCCTTTTCTTAGCAGAACTCCAGTGTGAATGTTTTCAAGGCCATTCCATACCAAACACGCTCGTCAGGAGCAGGTAAATGAGAGCGCTTACGCGAATGCCTATCAGCGGTACAAATTCGGGAGGCGATGATACCCTGTGTAAGGCATGTGTCGTTATTGTTGATATCAATGGTAGCCAGGGCTTTGGCTGTATTGCTCTCTGTTAGCGCGAGCTGCTTTGGTTTTGCACGAAATATGACGAGGTTCCCAGTCGTGGACTTGAAATCCATTGGGTCATTTGCATCCTGCTGAGACGTTGTCTCGTCCTTGATAGCGTCGCGAGGTACTGCTAATTCCCTTATTGATTTAGATCGGGGAAAGGCAGCCGAGTAATGCAGACTTCAATACCGAAAGACAATTGGAGGAGCTGATGAGTCGATGATGTCCCTTCCGATATCATCAAGGCAGTCTAAAAATTTCTAACGGTCTCTCAGTATACGATGCGATTCTCTTCGCTTTGATGAATGTCACTCCTGGTCCAAACTGCCTTCAACTCCAGGGTTTGACGCGCGCATCCACAAACTCAAGCACGTATATATTTCGACGTAAGAACTTT